CAAGTTTTGTACTTAAAATAAAGAGCATATTTTGCCTTTAAAAGTTTTTCGAAATGTCTACCACAAAGCATCATATCAGTTCATTTATTAATCCTACCTGTAAGGTATACAACGTGGGTCACATTCACTGCAAAATTTTACGAGCCCTGTATGACATCTTCGTAAAAGGGCATAGAAATGTGTGATTATCCTTACAAGGTGACACACAACTTTTAGCTCGAAAACCCTGAACACAAAGGCAACGACTGGAATTGGGGTTTTTCGAAGCCGAAACACGTTTTTTCCACTCGTGAGGTCTCATTAGACTAGTAAAGGAGCCATTTTAGTTGTTGTTGTTGTTTCATAATTTGCCAGCAGAAGCGTTCGCACAAGGGAGGGCGCATTTGAACTCGGACGTTGTGGAAAGAGAGCTAGCAGTCAGGAAGGACTGATTATCACGATTAGACCGTGGGTTGCCATGAAGGTGAACTCCATAGTGGCCAAAAGTTAGTCCAAATGTCTGACTGTGTCGTGCTGGTACTGGTATGTATGTGTTGGTTAGTCATTTCCAACAACTAGGCTGACAGCGGGACCATTCGAGACCCAAACAGACCTATGGGTAACTAAAAGTGGGCCGGAAAACAACGAGGAAGGAGGCCGTTAAATTGGTGCCAACAGTCTCACTTCCTATGCAGTAAGCCACCGCTGACGAACGACTGTTTTCTACACATCATCAGCTGGCTTGTAAACCTAGAAATAGAGGATCCGATAGGGGGACGTAAGTTAGATCATTGAAACAATTGTGATGGATGACCGACGGGAAAGGGGTTTGGAAAAGGTAATGAAATCAAATAGTCAGAATATGAATACAGGTGTGCACATGCCCGCCCTTTCAGTAATCAAGCCCTTCTGATATGCTTATAGTTGGAGGTCATGTCAAAGGTAGGAATCCAGTTGACTGGATACTCCTACGTCAAAGAAATCATCGAAAAGAAGACATTTAGATAAAAATTTAATTTGAAGACCCGAAAAGGTCTCTTCCGAGGACGTCAATTTGAGTTCACGCATTAATTTCTGACGGAATTCAAAGTTTAAAAAGTTGAATCTGCTTTTGGCAGAAACTATCAGGCATTGTGAAATAGGCGGTCAGACACTGCAGACGAGCCCATTCCAAAACCTTATTTTGAAAATGGGGCACTATCCTCCCCCGGTTCAAAGGTCAAGCGACGGTGGCTCTTTACTACAGCAATTTTTTTCTAATTCGAGATCCTTCCGACGTCTGAATTACGCGCGTAATCCCTCCAGCGCGTTTGTAGCACGCGTAAATGGCGACTTTTGGGCCACGTCAGTCATTGCACCCAGACTCAATCTCCAGTCGTCTGGACCTTGTCTTAGTCCTCTAACATAGTGGAAGTGAGAAGAGACAGAGAGCTTGGCGCTGCACAACTCCGCACTCGCAATAATGCAATCTCTGCATGAATCCTTCCCGTCCGCCACCACCCCATTCCCATCCTCCGAGTCCAGTAGCAGTGGCTGGTGGCTGACGTAGAGACACTGGCATAGTGACTTACGTGTACACAGACACAATGGCTCATGTGGGAAAAGTGGCAATAAGCAGCAATGTACTATCTCGGATGTTTGGATGTTTCAGTGACAAGCATTGGGGACACAGTACTTTCTCGGTCTCGCCGAAGGAAATATAAGTGTTACCAGTAAGCTGCCAGTATGCCACCTCTGGTGAGTTGACTACGACTACTGGGGTTCCACCTACTGGCCACAAATACAATGGAAACGAACATTATTTATCCTATGTCCAAGGTCTGTCCATCCCGCGGCATGGTGGACAGCGCAGTGCCAAGGAGACCAAACTTATCGGAGGATAAATCACCTACCGAATTCGGAGCAGGATGCCAAGTCTTCTGCATCTGGTATCAAAGATGGGGGAGTTTGATGCAGGAGTGAAATTCGTTCTTCGGAATAAACACCTAAAGATACCTACTAATCTACCGAGACAAATTAATAGTCGATGGAATTTCGCCCTAGGTATTGGCTTTTAAGTGTCAACCATGGCCGGACCTGTGTTACTATTTGTACCGAAATCTGCGAAACTGGCCAGTCTTGGATAGTCTTGGACCGCCGGTTCAAAGTCAGGACTGATAAAGCATCATGATAGGCCCAAACGCTTCAGATTGGTTATAATGGGGAATGCGCTGATTTGTCACGGGACTTTATTTCCCTGTATTGGTCTCACTTACTTTTCCCTCTTTCGCTTGGGAGCGGTTTGTCCGAGTCAGTCCGACTAGAAAAGAGATTGGGCTTTTTTGCAGATGATCTTGCATTAAACGGCCTTGAGAAATGCCCACAAAGTTGTATTCTGTTTCAAATCTTTCGGACATCAAGTGATACCTCTTTGGCTAGCCAAATGGAAATCGGGCACTGTGAGTCAGGACAACCAACTTGGCCAGTTTTTAAGGAGGCAACAACTTAAAAGACGGGTTCCACAGAAATGAAATAAACTACACATATCACATTTTTGGGATATCTCATAAGACAGTATTTAGAGATGCCAAACGTGTTTGTACGCCCATGTGTGCCTGGTCGTAACGATGCCTTCCTTTTTTAGGAGCATTTACGTATGTGTATAAAAGGTATTTCCCGAAAAGGGCAAAGCAAAAGTGAATATATGGCTCTGTTTTAACTTGCTGTGCTTAAAGGAAGATATTTTCCGGCCAAAATGCTATATATTATTGCTAGAAGATCTTACTAACATTACTTTCACTGTATGATGCTTTAGAAAGCAAGCAAAAACCTCTCGAGACCAAGAATTATAAATTCCGATGGCAAAGATTTCATGGTTAAATGTCAAAACACCTTGGACACATTCATATCGTAATTAAGTTAGTTAACAATAATAGCCCCAATGTGTATATTCCGCACAGAGTACGTCTAACAGCTCCTCTTAAATGTGAATTGAACCCCTTTGGCTTATTATTGGCTTTTTGGTAATTATTTTCCTCTTTATCTACGCCGATTTATTTTCTAACGTCAGCGTGGAGTTTTTATAACATACCATTAAAAGCTGGTGGCAAATTTGCCACAGTAGTAAGCTGTTCAAAACAACTTTGTTGGTCTCTCTATAGGTGCTTCAAGTAAAATAGCGGAATTAGGCTTTATTGAAATTGATCGAATACTATTCCGTAGACATCAGCTCCTACATTTTATTTTGATGGTCCGAATTAAGCCCCTTTTTCCTTTAAAAATGGAAATATTTGATGCACAATAACAGGTTAAACAGTGACTGGAAAACTTTTAACTTAAAATATTGCAGCCCTATAGAAAAAACGCGAAGTTTTTTCAAAATATTCTGTGCTTTCAAATGCTAACTATATAAATGTTAGTATTACATAAATAACGAAATTCCATGAGTACTTGCCAACGAATATAGTTTAGTTTGTAAGCGAAAGGTACACTGACGGGAGAAAATGCAGTGTAATAGTTGCTCACTCAGTGTGGTTGATACAAGCGTCCGGAAGGCTTCGCAACCAAAGGTCATCTTCTGTTATGGTTAACTGTGCAGTCTTCCGAACTTCCATCTTATCCCCTCACCTCTTTTCACTTTACGCTGATGACCTGAGATCGCCCAAGGACTGCCTATCTGTTAAGTATTCTGACTGTATAGTTTCCGGCCACCCATAATCAGACTCATCTTCGGTTTCCGAAGAATGCCTTAGATAGCGTCTTTGCATAGTTGTTAGAAAACGATCTTCTGCTTAATTAGCAGAAATTTTTCCAGTGTATTTTTCGACTGTGACCAACACTCCCCCATTCCTGAACCCTTTGATATGCTTCCCAGCGAAAGATCATCTGCCCAGTACCTCGGTGTTACTGCGTTCTCATATATCTCAGTCGCTCTTCATATTAAAACCTTGTTCACTAGAATTCACAGACTGGTTTTTGCATTGGTTGCGTACGTTCCCGTTACACACGTCAACCCCTATTCTAGTGATTTCTAAATGCTGGTATTCTCCCTCTCATTATTTACTGCCCTCGGATTATTTTTCCTGTCTTGCACAAAAAGGCATGATCATTTAAAAAGTGTCCTCCTGACGTTTGCTTCTACTGCCCGTGTTTCTTAAGTCTTTTTGTTGATATCTTAATTCAGCGATATTTCACATAGGTCAAGCAATTTTCTGATCGAATTCTGGGTGACGTTGCCCATCCCGTTCACCCTTAATTACTAGCAGCGAAGTCTTTCCGTCTCAGGCGCCGTGGTTTTCGTCACATCTCTTGCTGTCATCCATATATCAACCTCCTGCATTGCCGTTATTGGCACAATACCTAAAGTGAAAAGAGATCAAAATACAGAAATTAGGGTTCGGACTGCCCCCCTTATAGCTGTCCTGTTTTATGCAAATCCATTAACTACCTGGGCACCTATCAATTCGTATTCTGGCCTCGCATTTCAGCACTCAGCAAGCTGCTGACCCATTGGCTGGAAGATCGGCATCTTTCTACTTCATTGCACCTATTCTCTGCCCCTCTCCGCCCTTCACTCTCTCTACTCTACCCTTCTCTCTTATCCCATGGTAGAAAGTCCTATGGTTCACCGCATCGCTATCGCCAAGATAAGGCTTCGTCTGCAACCCCACAGGCGGCCACAAGATAAGTGTCGAACAGGCGAGCTAAACACCGCACAGATGAACATCGCTCTATTGAATTTGTCCACTCACTGTCTACATTTCAGCAACAAGTTGGTTTAGAGAGGGACGGAAAGCTTTGCTTCTCGTTTCTGTACCCTTTCCCTATCCCCCTCCCTATCCGTCACCTTCAAAAAGTCCTACGGCGAGATCGACGGCGATCGCGTAGGCGGCCGAGACTAATTTAGGTCGTTCTCCCACTAAACAAAGTTATGGCCCACAGTGGAGTTCGACAGCCGTCTGGAACAACTGAGCAGCCCTACTTAGGGAGAACACTGCTCATCTCCGCGATGAGGAAGGGGCTAGAAAAGGTGTCCTAAACAAATGCTAGAGATCCATGATGTCTGCAGGCTGACCGTGGCATCAGACGCAAAACTCACGACCGAAACGGCCAAACAGGAAACACCACTCTCTCTGTTCCCCCTCCTCCTCCTCGCTGTCGCTGGTAGGGTGGGTCTGCTCACTTTGGCAGCCTGCAGTGTTCGTTCCCTTTTAGACAATCCGGGGAGCAAGCGACCTGGACGGAGGAAGGCGCTAGTGGCTCGGGGACTGGAGCTCTACAAGGTGGACATCGCTACATTCAACGAAACCTGCTTCTTAAAACAAGGCCAAGTGGAGGAGATTGGTCCCAGCTACACCTTCTTCTAGAGTGGTCGCCCCAGGGCCGAGCGACGGGACGCGGACGTCGCCTTTGCCATCCGGAAAGATATCGTGGAACGACTGCCCCGTTCGCCTCAGGGCATCAGCGATCGCCAGAGGAGGTTCCGCTTGCCTCTCTGGGGAGGCAAGTTTGCCACCATCGACGTCTACGCCCCGACGACGACCAGTCCTGACGCTGCAAGGAACAAATTTTACGAGGGCCTGCACGCCCTCCTAGCGACTGTGCCGAAGGCCGATATGTTGGCTGTCCTTGGTGAGTTCGACGTCCGCGTCGGCACAGACAATGCTGCCTGGAGAGAAGTGCTGGGTCCCCATGCTCTCAATGGCTTCTCTGACAATGGCCTGCTCCTCCTATGAACCTGTGCAGAATACCGGCTCATCCTGACTAATACCTTCTTCCGCCTCCTGATGCGAGAGAAGGCCACCTGGATGCACCCTTCGTCGTGACGTTGGCATCAACTGACCTATGTCCTCGCCCGGAGGCTAGACCAGCGGGACGAGCTGATGAAAAAGGCGATTCCGGGTGCTGACGGGTGGACCGGCCTTCGCCTCGTCATCTCCAAGATGAGGATTTGCCTACAGCCTTGCAGGAGACCTCAAGGCAAGCGACCCCCAAGTAAGTCGAATATCGCCTTGTTGTTTTTGCCTGCTAACCATCTCCACTTCAGCAATGAGCTAGTTCAGCGGCTAGCCAACATTCCAGTCGCCGCCGCCGCCATCGAGGAGAACGCACCCGTGGAGAACCGGTAGTGGCAACTCCGGGACACAGTCCAGTCGACGGCCCTGGCTGTCCTCCGCCGCGCACGTCGCCAACATCAGGACTGATTCGATGACAACGACGTCACCGTCTGCACATGGCATACGTCACTCGCCCCACCGACGACAACAAGATTGTCTTCTACCGTAGTCGCCGCCTTGTGCAACAGCGGCTTCGAGCGCTGCAGGACGCCTGGACTGCTCGCAAGGCCGAGGAGATCCAAACGTGCGACGACCGCAAACGAATGGAAGAATTACTTCCCGCGAAAAAGGCTGTCAACGGCCCGCTAACCAAAGCAACCGCTCCTCTTTTCAGGACCGACGACAGAACCCTACTAACTAAGTAGACACAAATCCTACAGCGAAGGGCTGAGCACTTCAGAGGCGTCCTCAAGCGTCCCGCCACCATCTACGATGCCGCTATCGTCCGTCTGTCTCAAGTGGAGACCAACACTTACCTTGATCGCCCACCCTCTCTCTACGAAACCATCTGGGACGTGCAGCAGCTCTCCAGTGGTAAAACGCTCGGATCGGACGCGATTCGTGTTGAGATCTACAAGCACGGCGGTCCCCAACTCATGGAACATCTGACGGCGCTCCTTCAGAAAATTTGGTGTCACGGAGAGGTTCCCCAGGATTTCAAGGACGCCACAATCGTTCATCTCTATAAGCGAAAAGGTGGCCGCCAAATCTGCGAAAACCATGGAGGCATCCCCTTGCTGAACCGCGCAGGGAAGATCTTCGTTCGCATCGTTCCCAACCGCCTGAACCACCATTTGGAACCAGGTCTCCTGCCGGAAAACCAGTGCAGCTTCCACCGTCATCGCGAAACCACCGACAAGATCTTCGCCGTCCCTCAACTGCAAGAGAAGTGTCAGGAGATGCGGTGCTCCCTCTGCTCTACCTTCGCCGATCTGAAGAAAGCCTTCGACACGGTGAATCGCGAAGGGTTGTGGAAAATCATGCAGAAATTCGGCTGTCTCTAACGATTCACTCAGATGGTGCGTCTGCTCCACGATGACATGATGCCACGCGTCAAGGACAATGGAGTCGTCTCAGAGATATTCACAGTGACCAACAGAGTGAAGCAGGGCTGCTTCCTCGCTCCTACCCTCTTCAGTCTCATTTTCCCTGCCATGTTGATGGACGCCTAACGTGACGGACACCCTGGGACCTGCATCGCCTACAGGACGGACGACCAACTCCTCAATCAGCGGCAGATGCACTTCCAGTTACGTGTATCCACAACTGCCGTCCATGAACTTCTCTCCACCGACAACTGCGAACTCAATACCACTTCGGAAGAGGATATGCAAAGGAGCATGGGCATCTTCGCCGCCGTCGCCGCCGCCTGCGACAACCTCGGCCTGTCCATTAACATGACGAAGAGGGTGGTCATACATCAACCACAACCCAACGCTGCCTACAATGCAACCCAAATGAACTTAAGCGGCGCCCAGCTGCAAGTGATGGACAACTTCACCTACCTGGACAGGCCCATCTCCCGTACGACCAAGAGCGACGATGAAGTGGCCCACCGGATCTCCACAACCAGCCGAGTCTTCGGCCGTCCATATAACACCGTCTGGAACCGTCACGGTCTCCGTCTCAGCATCAAACAGAAAATGTGCAAGGCAGTCATCCTACCGACGCTGCTGTATGGAGCGGAAACCTGGAAGGTCTACAAGGAGCAGGCGTGGAGACTAAGTCAATACTACCTCAGCTGTCTTCGACGGATACTGAAGCTGAGGTGGCAGAACCGGATCCCCGACATTGACGTACCGCAGTGGACGGGAATCCTCGATATCTACGTCATGCTGAGACAACTGCAGTTGCAGTCGAGCGGCCAGCTCGTGCAGATGGACGACGAGCGGCCACCCAAACGACTCTTCTATGGAGATGCCGCCAGGGGTTCCTGCCGCCACGGAGACGAAGTCCGTCGAGACATGGACACTCTAAAGAACTCGCTGAGGCGTCTGCCGATCAACTCGATCAACTTGGAAGACCTCACTCAAGACCGACCGTCCTGGAGGAGTATAGTGAACACAGGCACAGCGATCTACGAGGCAAACCACATCATCGCCGCCAAAGCCAAACACGAGGCTCGTAAATCTCAACTGCGCCCAGCCCGCAACGCCAATGCTCAACCGTCCTCGACCTACCCAGGCTGTCAGCGGACGTTCCGGGCACCAATCGGCTTTATGCGACATCTTCGTGCCAACTGCAGCACCCGAAATACATCAGCCGCTGTTCCCGCGCTAAACTCTGTCTCTTCCACCACGCTGACAACTAACACTGACCGCACTCTCGAAACCCCACTATCATCCTCCTCCTCCTCCATCGTATTATCATGTACTGCGCCGGCTCCTTTACTTACCACCCCTGCACACAATTAAGGCGTTCCAACAAAAATCAACCGCCACGCCGTGAACACTAGCGATGTAGACTCGGTCGATACGTGTCCTCATTGCGACCGCACCTTCACCTCACACATCGGCCTGGTCCGTCATTAGAGAATCCATCACACAGAGACTGGCAAACCAGTACCTGGAGCACCAACCTACACTCGCCGCAGTCGCTCCCACTGTCCCCGCACCTTCACTCATGGCAGCAACCTAATCGGTCACATACGTATCCACGAGAGTGGGTGGACCGCAGTCTCGACACACCCAGCACCTCTTGCACATCCACCATGCCTAGCTCCACCCAAACAACGCTGTCCAGCACGGCCACAATCAGCAGCTCCACGGCCTACGAAACTGACGCCCCCGACCTCTCCTGTCCACACTTTCCCCCTACACTCACCTCACGCATTGACGTGGTCGGTCACTTGCGAATCCGTCGCGCAGAGACTGGCGAACCAGTGCCTGGAGCATCAACCTACACCCACCGCACCCGCTCCAACTAGCATCGTCGCACCCGCACATTCACCCGCCGCACGGGCATAGTAGGACACATGCGCATTCACGAAAACCTGCGGCAGACAACCGCTGGATACACCACACCACCACACCTTCGCCACTAACACCTGCATCACGCAACATTATCATCCAGCACCGGCTACCTATTGTCACCTCCCACGCAAGTGGGAAGTTTGCGGTTCGACTCCGTCTCCATGCGGCCCCTTTGCTGCATGTGTGGCTGGAGTCTGAGACTGCCACGGCACGTAAAACGCTGTGGCTTGGAAGGCTGCTGACTGACGTCCCAATTCAGCCCACACAGACTGTCCAGTTGTGTGTGTTTGTGTAGAGTGGCCGGCTGGTGCTCTAAGATTCAGGCTGCAATGGATCCTTTTTAATGTGACCTTTATGGCACTCCCACTCTGTGGGATCCGAGGCGGGTGTGACAGCACGCCATGCCAGCTCCCCCACTGTTTTTGTTGGTTAAAGACCTGGTTATTTGCTGTGTGGATCAGGGAGTGTGTAATGGAGCGCCAATGTGTGGGCTCGATCGTTCCATCCAGCTGCACCCTCCTACGCCTCCGGTCTTCTTGACTCTGTCTTGATACGGGGTCCAGGTGGGGGAGGGGGAGAGGGCAGTAGATGCAGCGCAAGTCAACTATTACTATAAACTAATTCACGCGCAAGTCACCGTCCCTGCTCCACCTTGCTGTGGGGCAAACGGTGGATATCGTCGGAAACGACTGTCAGATGCTCGCTAACCGGTGAGAATATATGTCTTAATAAATCGTCAAACATGCGAGGACGTAAGCATATGATTCCAAAAATGTTTTCAAGTTAGATGGAATACAATTTCTCGGGGGTATTTCATCAGGTGTTGTCAATAACTACTTGGGGGTATACCTTAATGTCGACGTATTAAAGTGTCAGACGTATCTTCCATGAAGTTACTCAGAAAACTGTTCGAAATGATTCTTAAATGCTTAAATGACTATAAAAAAGGAAATAAGCTAGCTGCCAAATGAAGCGTAGAAGGGTCGGACAAGGGCTATAAGAACCGTTGAAGCTCATCCCCATTCTCCTTCAGGAAAAGCAGGAGAGTACTGACCTAAGTGTTTAGCACACAATCGAAGAATTAGCATAACGACCTCTATTTCTGCCACGCCCAACCGGTGCCGATCGTTAGGATGACATCATGGAAGTCCTCTTCCTGACCTCTAGTTTACTAAGCTGACTTATTGTGAGCTTTTGCCCCTGTGCCGGATTTCCTCATTCGTCAATGTCTTAGGGACATGTTTTGGCAAATTTATTTCTTAGCACCACCCTACTAGCACCTGCAAGTGCTGTTTTATACCTTCACATGGCTCTTAAATTTTATCGTCCTCCAACCTTTCAGGCTCACTTGTTCTTTCCCCGCTAACGATTTCAGCACTCCCCTTCGACTTACTTCACTTTCAGTGATCACGTTGCGCTTACATTTCAAACCAAAACAGGGTAACCGACCCCTGCCAGCATAAGTAGGTCTTCATTGGAACTGTTTGTCTACCATCCAGACCCGGTCTGATATATTTATTGGTAGAATGTGGTTATGTAGCTCCAACTGAAGTAAACGAACCCCAGTCACCTCTAATACGGGACCGGTGTTAGTAGGGGTTTTTACTCGTGGGGCCTGGGAACGCACAGGAGACGAGGCCAAATAGTTGTATGCAAAAGACAAGTTATTGGGAATGCGCGGTTGTCCTTTGAGTGGTTAAGAAATAGTTGCCCTAATCCCTAACCCTAACTCTAACAGTATTGTGTCCATCAGGCGCGGCTATATAACCACATCTTACCGAAAATAGATTTATGGCATAAAACTTTAATTAGCCTTATAGGGGAAAAAATTAGTGGACGATAAATGTAGTGAGAAACACCCATTTTCAACTATGTTCACCACATTTAATCAAACTGAATTCTCCACCTGTTTAGTATTCATTTTCACCTCAGCTGTTCCTGAATAACTCTAAAAGTGGTGATAGGAGAGGATCGCAGACAGCGAGGTCCCGGAAAGGACCGGCGTCCTTCGTACCTTTGCCACGCTGATACAGATAGAACTGCGATGGACCTGCCACCTCGTAAAGATCGACGATGAGCACTTGTACAGGCGACGTCTCTGTGGCCGCTAACATACATGGCAGAAAAAATCTCATTAGAAGTACACTTTGAAAACCTCCCTCAAGCACCTGTACATCAACCCTGAGGTCTGGGAGGACCTGACTCGGAGTCATCAGTTGTGGTACATTGCCGTAAAGCCTGGAGCAGCCATATTTGAAGTCAACAGAATAATCACTGCCAAGGCAAAGAGAGGGGCCAGTAAGACCCAAGTAGTACGGACAACCGACCCATCTGCCTGGTCAGTCGTTTGCGAATCCGTCGTACTGAGGCTGGAGAATCAGTGCCAGGAGCTACGACAGACACCAGCCGTACCCATCTCAGCTGCCTAGAACATCCAGCCATCGTATGGACCCATTCAGCCATATGTCCTTTCATGAAAATTCCGAGGTGAAAACCCGCAGTGCAGACTTCATCACAATACCTCACGCTTCCTACCTACATACGTATCCCCAGGCCACGCATGAACCTAACATACCACTCCCGTAACACCATGCCTCAATCCTGCGACAAAAACGTTGTTTACTTTATCATCGCCGATATGGCAGGCGAAAGGTTGCATGCCAGAAAATCCATTTCTCTAGTATATAAGACATTTGCATATCGATGTATCCTCATACATGTTTTGAGAACAAGGCCGTGTTTAACAGGCCTAGAATGATTGTTTAGTTTTGTCAGTCAATACCCCCATTCTCATCACCAGCTGACTGACAGTCGGTTGGTGCATGGAAAATGGAAGAGAGAGCGAGGCCGATGCCGGGGATCCCATCTTTGATGCAAATTAGCGCCTTCCTCACTATGCTAAATCCGACTTGCTTGAATCTCTCGCGAGCCGCTTATACTGGCTCCAGCTTGCCTGCTGGAGGGACACAGCGGTCCTCATGTGAGTACTTTGGAGCCAGTGAATGGCTGAGATCAAGCTGCAGTGACTCCTTCTTGACGTGACCTTTGTGGCACTCACATGAGATCCAAACCGTCCCTGGCATACCTAAAGTGGGAATTAGCTTGCGTGTGGCACGTGCAGATGGAATGCTTAACTCTGTTAGTCGGTGCGCCAGCGTCCACCCACAGTCGTCTTGATTTTGTTCTGGCATCGAAGCAAGGCAAGTCAATAAGGAGATAGTATGGTAGATGCCGCGTTAGTCTATCGCACTATAAACTGCTTCAAAGGGCTTTGTGAGGCAGTTTCTCGATCGTAGTATCCCTGGAAGTAGGCATAGCCTGCAGATTCTAAGTTAGAATACGTCGCCGTGTGGCACAACCCACGGACACACTGTTGCTAACAAAAACCTAACAGCTGCCTACCAAACCTGTTCCCGTGATGGCTGCAACTACATCGGAGAAACCATAGCAAGGTCGCCGACTCGCCTGCAAGATTGAATGTGGACACCACAGAGACTAGACCAGAACTGTCAATCTGGAACGTACATTACAGAAATTGGCTACAAATCTGCTCTTCATTCCACCTCATGTCGAGGCAGCTCGATGACCGAGAGAATCACATTAGAGCCCTGATTCTAGGCAGTCAAGTAGTTCAACAGCACACTGTCCTGCCTCGTACTTACCAACTCTTTCGAATTTACCTACGCAGAGTCCAGGATAGAATGCCTACACTGGACACAAGGAACTCAACCAGTAACAGACTGACGACAAGCCCACCCGACGGGGAAGCACGCGAAAAATCAGAACAAAGATTCAATTATAGAGACTTAACTGTCCCCGACGTAATAACTAACGGTTCAGGCAACTACCAGTATTCCCACAGCCACCAGGCAGCCACGAAAAATGTAGGGCAGTAATCGCAGGGGAAAATCAAATATCCCAAAGCCAACACATTCGGTAAGCCACTTTAGTTTCCGCTTACTTTTTTGCACTGAACTCCTTATCACTGGACTGTTAGTTTAGCCCACCAAGTCGTCTGTTGTCAATAAATCTCTCCCGACGAGCGCTTTCACCCTAAAGTGTCAGCCTTTAGCCCCCAACTTACCCATCTGAGCTTACTTCCGGCTTGAAAAAATTGACGACAGAATGTCAATACTTCACTCTTCCATCCCCCGAGACACTACAGCGCTCGTCTGGGTTCATTTTAATACAACATTAACACCCGCCACAACAACTAAACAGGCAGACAAGACGCAACTAAAAAAACCATCCGCCACGCACCATCAGTACGTCCGCCTGTGACCACGAGGTCGTGCCACGCTGCGCAGTGCTCATTGGCCAGCGTTGCCGCCCACCGGCCTTCGGATAGAGGGAATGAAGCGAAAGGGCAGACGGATACGAAGTGTCTAAATTCTGGTTTTTGGAAAGCCCCAGCAGCCGGTGAGTGAGCGCACACAGACAGA